TGGCCTCTCCCGTTGTGGAGCACAGGCTCCAGAGGCGCAGGCTCAGCGGCCATGGCTCACGGGCCTAGCCACTCCACGGCATGTGGGATCTTCCCAGACCTGGGCACGAACCCGTGTCCCCTGCATCGGCAGGCGGACTCTCAACCACTGCGCCACCAGGGAAGCCCTTACATTTGTCATTCTTTTTCTCTTCTTTCACCAGAAATTTGATAAATACTCACACTTACTATACTGTATTTTTTATCATTTGAATTTGTATATATAACTTTCATATTCAATTGATATGTGTTTGATGAAATTGTATGAAGTAATGGCCATAAACAGATTCCCTATGCCCCAAATAATGAATTGGTTGTCACAGAATAATTCATTGAATTATTGAATCCTTCTCTACCCTCTGGTCTTGGAAGTTTCATTTACCATGTATTTCTTTTTTACCTCTGTATTGGTACCAAATTGTTTTAATTTTTATAACTTTATATTATATTTTACTATTTGGATATAGCAAGTCTCCTCTCATAGTTTTTCTTATTCATTTTATTCTCATAAATTTTGTCTTATTTATTTTTCCACACTTTATGATCTTGCATAATTAAAATTCGTGATATTTCTAGCCAAACTCATAGAAGCAGAGAGTAAAACGGTAGCTACTAGGAGCTGGGGGAAGGGAAAAGAGAGGCTATCTTAGTCAAGGCATACGAAGTGTCAATTATGTGGGATGAGTAAATTCTGGAGATCTAACAATATATTAGCATGGTGACTAAAGATAGCAATGCTGTCCTGTATACTTGAAATTTGCTAAGAGGGTAAATCCTAAGTGTTCTCACTGCAAGGGAAAAAAAAAAAAACACAAACTATGTGAGGTAGTAGATATGTTAATTAGCTTGAATATGGTGACTATTACATAATGTATACACATATCAAATCATCAAGTTGTATACCTTAAAATATACAATTTTTAAAATTGTGAGATTTTTGTTAGAATGGCAATGAGCCTATAAATTAATTTGAGAAGATTTGACAGCTTTATCCTATTCAGTTTTTCTTTTAAGGCACAGAATATATTTTAGGGGCTTCTTTAAAGAGTTCATATTACTACTGTGAATAAAATATTTTGTCTATTATGTTTTCAAATTAGATATCATTAGAAATATAATAATATGTGCCACGTATGGAGCATTAAGTATGTTCCATGCCTTGGGATTATACTAAATATTTGCCTAGTTCAACCTCCAAAGCAACCTAATGAAGAAAGTATTTTTATTTCCACAAATAAGGAAGTTGAGGCTTAGAGGGAGGGATTTGCTCCTAGATCTCCCTGCCACTGACTCCAGTGTCTGTGCTCTTAACCATCCCACGGAGTGAAGCAAGAGCTATTGTATTTTTATCTATTTATGTCACATTCAGAGTGACTGAATCTAGGGTTTAGAGAAATTGAATCTAGGGTTTAGAGAAAAGTATATGTGTACTACAGATTTCAAATCAGCTTTCTTTATTCCCAGTTGCAGTCTGCTCAATAAGCCCTCTATTACATTTCAAAAGACAGTCATTGCAGAAACAAGAATTCTCAGACAACTGTCAGTGGAATTTATCAAAAGAATATTCGAAATATTGTACAGCAACTATACTTCAATTAAAAAAAGAATATTAGAAAGGCTCTATTAGCATTTTGCACGTGATTTTGTGGAACACAAACTACCATTTAAAAATTACCCCCCGGGCTTCCCTGGTGGCACAGTGGTTGGGAATCCGCCTGCCGATGCAGGGGACACAGGTTTGTGCCCCGGTCCAGGAGGATCCCGCATGCCGCAGAGCGGCTAGACCCGTGAGCCATGGCTGCTGAGCCTGCACATCCGGAGCCTGTGCTCCGCAACGGGAGAGGCCACAACAGTGAGAGGCCCATGTACCACAAAAAAAAAAAAAAATTACCCCCCACGTCTTCTTTTTTTAAAGTATTTTATTTTCATTTATCATTTACAGGTGGTTTGTTCCTGATATTAATATTTCCTAGGTATCTAGTGAGAGTTTGATCTTTTTTTGGGGGGGGGGGCACGTGGCACGCGGGATCTTAGTTCCCAGACCAGGGATCGAACTCCCGTCCCCTGCAGCAGAAGTGCGGAGTCCTAACCGCTGGGCTGCCAGGGAAGGCGACCCCTCAACATCTTCTGACATGAAAAAAGCTTCTAGAAACCGGTAGAGATTCCTATTTAAATTTTTCACTAGAGAAGCATCATACTAATATAGCATCAATGCACCTATCTGAGGTCATGACGGAAAATAAAGGGGAGAAAGCTATTTGCCTTTCTGGAAGCAGCAACGCATTTTAAAGAAGGATAAGCACTGCGCTGGAGTGAAAGCTGGAAAGGATAAAGCTGGGACTTAGGCGGGACCAGGTCCTCAAACGCCAGACAGTGAGTTAGGAACCTACTGTTGGTTAGTGAAGAGTCTGAGGAGATGAGTGACATGATCTGGTCTGTTTTTAGAAAGACAAGCTTTGCAGAAGTGCAGAGAATGAATTAGGTGAGTGAGGCAGGAGACAAAGAAATCAGTCAGGAAGCCATTGGAATTGTCTAGTGAGAGATGTTGGCAGCTGAGGCTGGGGAATGCCCAGGGAGATGGACAGGAAGGAAAGAAGGATGTGAGAAACATTGCAGAGGAAGAGTTGACAGGGCAGAGGGTGGGTCTTGATGATGTTAAAATGAGCACACTAAAGGGGGTGTCCACCAATACCTTCTCCATGTCATCCCAGTTGGTGATGATGCCGTGTTCAATGGGGTATTTGAGAGTTAGGATCCCTCGCTTGCTCTGAGCCTCATCCCCCACGTAGCTGTCTTTCTGGCCCATTCCCACCATTACACCCTGCAATGCAAAAGAGAAGGAAGGAGAACAGAATTGGCCGAGAGCTCCACTTAGAGGAATTCAGGTATTGGAGGGTCTCTGAAGAAGGTTAAAGATAGGGAAAATGTCCTTCTTCCCCTGGAAACCGGACTGAAGGAGACAGGGTGAGGCAGATACCAATGAATGTGGAGATGGCAGGAGGGAAGGCAGAGGATTTCTTGTCTCTCTTCTCTGTCCTAAAACAATGTCATTTTCTGAGAGAACAGGGCCAATCCATACACGTCTTCCTCTTACCTTACCTTACTTAGCACACACACACACGCACACACGCGTGCAGCTCAGCATAGACTCCACAGTGCAGTGCGTCCTCCTACTAACTCAAAGCCTTGGGTCCAGATGAACATATACCTGGTGGCGAGGACGACCCACAATGGAAGGAAAGACAGCCCGGGGGGCGTCATCTCCTGCAAAGCCAGCCTTGCACAGGCCAGAGCCATTGTCACACACGAGCGCAGTGGTCTCCTCTTCACACATGGTGAGTCTGGCCGAGTGAACCAGGGGCTAGAGCACCTAGGGAACTGGGGAGAAGAGAGGTAATTGGCCACTTGTCAAAATCACGTTGGAGACAGTATTCTTGGCTGTCTTGGGGCCTGACCCCATCGGCAACCAGGACCTAGTTCCAGGAGGGAAGGTATGAACCTGGCCCCTTACTCTCTGGCATTTGGGCTTCTTCCCTCTACCCTACTGTTTTGGGCTGAACTGTTTACTCCCCAATTTCTATGTTGAAGTCCTAACCCTAGTACCTCAGAGTGTGACTGTATTTGGGGATAAGGCCTTTAAAGGGGTAATTAAAGTAAAATGAGGTCATTAATCCAATATGACTGGTGTCAGGTATGCCTAATTCAATAGAACAGGTATCTTTATAAGAGGAAATTGGAACACAGACACACACAGAGGGAAGATCATGTGAAGACACAGCAAGAAGACAAATCATCTACAAGCCAAGTTGAGAGGCCTCAGGAGAAACCAGCCCTGCTGATACCTTGACTTCAGACTTCTAACCTCCAGAACTGTGAAAAAATAAATTTCCCTTGTTTAAGCCAATCTGTGGTACTTTATTATGGCAGCCCTAGCAAATTAATCCACCTGCCTCTCGAAGACCTGAAATGACTACAAAGCATTAATCCAATGGAAAGAATCTCTAAGGACTTGAAGTTTAGAAAAGGAATTGAAAAAATTTGCAGTAAACATAATTAAGGGTTACTATTTGCTATATAAAAGAACTCCTACAAATCAATAAGAAAGAAGTAAATAGCCCAAAAGAGAAAAATAAAAAGACTATGAATAGATAATTGACAAAATGAAATGCAAACACCCAACAATTACATGAAAAGATGTTCCGCCTCACTAGCTATCAGGAAATGCAAATGAAATAAGACCATTTTCACCCATCGTATTGTTAAGATTCAAAGTTTTATTATAGGTGTTGGCAAAGTTGTGGGAACACTGGCACTCTTTAATCAGAGAAACACACCAACACACAATCTGGTACTATCCAAAAGTTCCTTGTGGGATACTGTACTGAGGTTAAGAGAAGGGCCAGGCAGATCGACGTGGACTAATGTGGATAGATTTCGAAACCATTCTGCTGAGTGAACAAAGCAAGTTGCAGAATAGAATGTCCAGCATAAAACCATTTATGAGTTCTTTTAAGAGCACAAAACAATATTGTGCATTTTCCATAATTTTCTTTTTGTGTGGATGTGAACACATAGCAAAAAGTTCTGGAAAAAAAAAGTCTAAGACTGATCATAGTGGTTACCTGGAAGTGGGAAGGGGACTGAGAGGAGAAGTGCTGTAATGTTTTAATTGTTAACAAGGAGACTGTATCCATGTATAGTTTATAATTAAAATCAATCATACATATCATTAAGGAAAAAAAGATGCAGGTGAAAATGTACAATCCTAAGGGTAGGAGCCCCTTGAGGAGGACAGGGCAACCTGAGAGGAGAGAGGAAAGTGAGAGAATTCGTGATGGGACTCACTGTCTCTGTTGCTTCAGATGGAGAAAAACAGAGAAGTCCTTCCTCCAATGCTGATATCTGAATTGGGACGACTGCAAAGTGATGAGGGAATGAATTTTTCTAATGTCTGTTGCAGGTTTTCTTTCTTTGGGTGAGGGGCAGTGTAAAAAGACCACACCTGACAAATTCTTGGCACTTGGTGAAGCAAGAGAAGCAATGGCAGCTCAGGAGATGGTGTGTGGATTGCCTTCCAGCCTGAGAAGCCCCTCAGTGGGGCAGAGTGGAAGTGGGGAGGGTCCCAGCTCCGGGGGAGGTGGGAGTCCAGAGAAGAGAGGCATGGAGAGAGAAGGTGGCTGCAGAGGACAGTCCACCAAGCTTCATTTGGAACGAGCGGCAGGAGGGGAAGAAGAGAGCTGCCCTAGACACCTGGGATGCTGGTCCTCCAACACCCTTACGTGGAAGGAGGACAGCAAATACCATGACCAAAGCAAAGAGGAGACAGAATCACAGCCTGAGAACGGGAGGTCAGAAAGGCTACCTAGAGACTGAGCAGAAGCTTATTCACACAGTTTGCAGGCTAAAAGGAAGCCCTTGCCTGTTATATTCAAAGCAGCGTGCACACTAGGGGACAGGCCCACTGTGACTTCTTGAATCCAGCTCTGCTTGTCCTTGCTGATCCTCACGATCACCCATGTTCAAAGTGATAAAGTCCCAGTTCTCGCCCTTGGCCTACAAGGCCCAACAGGGTCTGGCCCCTGCCTATGTCTCCAGGCTTATCTCCCCCCTGACCCCCCTTGGCCTTCTCACTCTGGCTATGTGGAGTTCCTTTCCATTCTCCGAATATGTCATCTTGTCTCCCTTCTGGCCCTTTAGACACAGAGTCTGGAACACCCTTCCCCCAACTTATTTGCTACTGACTCCCATCCCCTGTCAGGCCTCTGCATCAACACTGCATTTTCAGTCTCTCTGGCCCACCGGTCTCAGTTAGTGGCCCTTCTTCTTTGCCCCACAGCACCTTGAACTTGTCCCAGCAATGATCAACTCTGCACATCTGGGCTCATCTGTAGCTCTGTAAAGGCAGGAGCTGGGCCTGTCCTGTTCTCCAGCGATTCTTCTGTAAGCCTAGCACAATGTCTGGCACAGGGTGGGCTCTTAAACCTTTTTTTACCCAGATGAATGAGTGAATGAATCAATGGATGTCAAGGAGAAGGATTTTCAGAATAACAAAGGTAGAACAAACACTGGTGAGAGGACACTGGTCTGAGATGAGGTGGAGATTGAAGGAAAGTACTTAGTTGTTCAAAACAATGTTGTCTCTGGTCTGAACAGTTTCTGGATTGCAGGGAAGATCCTTAACCTTCTGCCATGTTAGACCAATGGAGAAATGGAGAGATGTCAGGAGATGGAGATGGCAAATGTTGTTCCAATATTCAAAAAGGGAAAGAAGGCAGATATCTAAAACCTCAGATAATCTTGATATGCAAATTAAGCAGGTTTCCAGAAGGTGTTATTAAAGAAAGCACTATTAAAGAAGCAGTGGGCTTCCCTGGTGGCGCAGTGGTTAAGAATCTGCCTGCCCAGAAATAGAGACACAGATGTAGAGAACAAACATGTGGACACCAAGGGGGGAAAGTGGCGGGGGTGGGGGGGTGGGGATGGAGTGATGAATTGGGCTATTGGGATTGACATGTATACACTGATGGGTATAAAATTGATGACTAATAAGAACCTGCTGTATAAAAAATAAATAAAATAAAATTCAAAAAAAAAGTAAGCTTCTTCCAAGCAATTCAGAGGGAAATAGAATATAAAATTTTAGAATTTTAAAACATTTTTTCCCCCTTCTGTTGTTTTCAAAGGCTTTGGGGGTGGCGGGGGGAGGTGGTGGTAGTGGGATATTGGAGTTAGACTAGCCATAACATAAAAACAGTGAATTTTACTAAGGAAAGTGAATCCCAGGAATTTTGTTCAAATAGGATAGACTCTTGTTGTGCTAGAGGTGTCCTGTGTTGAAGTTAGTAGGCTATATGGGAGTATTTGTCTAGAAAAGAAAAAAAATATTAATTGGTATTTTATTGATGACAATAAAGTTGGAATATGATAACTAAAAAAATTAAAGAAAAGAAGAATCCACCTGCCAATGCAGGGGACACAGGTTCAATCCCTGGTCCGGGAAGATCCCACATGCCGCGGAGCAACTAAGCCAGTGCGCCGCAACTACTGAGCCTGCGCTCTAGAACCCGCGAGCCACAACTACTGAAGCCCGTGCGACTAGAGCCTGTGCTCCTCAGTAAGTGAAGCCATCACAACGAGAAGCCCGCACACCGCAACGATGACCCAATACAGCCAAAACTAAATAAAATAAAAATAACTAAATTAAAAAACAGAAGCAGTGATTTCTTGAAATTGATTAGGGTTTACCAAGAACAAGTGTTGGCAGACTGCCAGCCTCCCTTTTTCCACAGGACCCCCTGGCTGGAAATGCAGGAGAAGGCGGGAGACATTGAGCTTCACTTGATCTTGGCATCTGACAAATTCTCCCGTGATATCCCTATTGATAAAGCCATGTGGGCTGAACAATAAATCAGTTAGGCATATTTACAGCTGCCTGAGTTATTGTCGCTGAAAGGTGTTAATTGATAGGTCACTGTCAACCTGGAGGCAATGATATGCCTCAGAGCTCCACTCTTGATCCTTTCTCATGTGACATGTTTATAAATGAGTTGGATGAAAATATAGAGTACATGCTGATCAAATGTCCAGATAAAACACACACGTTGGCTGGAAGAATCGAAATCTGAAAGATCTCAAAAAGCAGAGAAAATGAACTGAGTCCACTAAGATTAAATTTAATAGGATAAATATGAGGGTGCGGATGTGAGTCTAGATAACCAAACTGTGAAAGCTCTCGTTCAGCCTCTGTGAGCAGGACCTGGGGTCTTGTCGACAGTCTGCAGTGTCCTGGAGCCATGATAAAAGCTAGCCCCACCTTCGGCCAGAGCGCTGTGTCCGGTTCTTAGGGCCACCCTTGCCAGCAGAGCTGTGGGAAGGTGGGCCCCCGTTCACGGCTGACAGGGCAAACTGTACTACTTTTCTAAAGGGGAATTCAAAACTACTTATCAAAAGCCTTAAAAGTGTACATATCTTTTAACTCCACAAAGACACTTCTAGGAATTTATCCTTGGGAAACACTCATGGGTGAGTGCAAAGATTTGGCCAACTTTAATGCGAAAAAAAGTTATTGAGTAATAAATAAAATGGTTTCTAAACTAGGTTCCAGAAACCTCCTTACGACAGAGAGAGCAGAATATTTAATATCCTGGGAAAAGTGCAAGCTGCTCTGTTAGGTGAAACACAACATGTTCTGTGCTTCCATTTTTGGTAAAAATGTATTTTTAAGTTTTAAAAATTGGGAGCCTTTCACATACATTATCTATTTAATCCTCACAAAAGCCCTGAGGGAAGATATTTTTAGTTCCATTTTACAGATAAGGAAACCAAGTCTCAGAGAAGTGAAAGGACTTAGCTCTCCGGCTCCTCACTGGGAGAGGCAGGGCTGGCCTCAGCCCAGGACAGGCTTCGAAGCCTGGGCTTGCACCTTCCCCACCACCTCAGTGAAACCCTCACAACTTCTCCATGTTTGGTGTTTTTGCTTCTGCCTCTCTGTCTCTCTAGCACCGTTGGCAGCAAAAGCCCTAAAACAAAAGGGCCTGTGTTCTTTTCTCTCTCTGAGCCTCTGAGCCCCTCCTATGCCATGCCTAGGTCTAGATTTATGTTTACAGCCCCTGCATCGGTGTTTAGCACGTAGTAGGTGCTCAGTGTATGTTGGATGGCGATCCCACCACCTTCCTGGCCTTCCCCTGACGATCTGCTCTGCCCCTGTCCCTGCAAGCTGAGCTCGAGTCCCCACAGGCCAGTCTCAGGGCTGCTCGGTCATGTGGGCGTGATTTAGAACCACACAGGGACAGTCTTCTTCACAAGCTGGTCACAAAGAGTTGTGTTTCCTTGTTCTAGCAGGTGGTCCACCTTGAGGAGAAAACAACCTCGAAAGCTAGAAGGTGGCCAAGAGGCAAAGCTGCACCTCTGTGACTGTCTCCCTCTGGGGTCCCCTCTCTCTTGTGACTTATAGTTCAAGCCTGTCTGGCTTTTCAGTGAACCCTTTTGTCTCCCCTTGAAGTTCCCCACCCATAGTAAGAAAGAACGTTGGACTTTGTTTCCCAGCAGCTGAGACAGCTGGCCTGGAGTGGAGCTTGGCGTGGCCTGTGCTGTGCTGCCCGGGGAGAAGACTTGGGCCCTGCAGCCAGGCTCTCCTGGAATGTCTCTGCCAGGGGAAATTCTAAACTTCACTCAGCCACTTGCTGGTAATTTGTGGCTAGACTTGAGCGTGTCAACTGAACCAGAGCCAACGTCACTGTGGTTTCCTGGGTCACACCACTTTGCACTCGCAGAAAGCCGAGTGCACTGTTCTGGCTCTTTCAGCACGTACTACATCTGGGCTTCATTGAGGATTTCACAGAGTTAGAAACACAGCTCCCCGCTCCTCTCTGAAAAGTGGCCAAAATCCAAAGACATAATGAGCACAAAGAATTTGCTCACCCACGCATCCCCCTGGCCACCCCCAAGCAAACATGAGGACAAGATGAGAGCCCCCTACCCTCACTCTGAAGGAGAAGGGTTTCGCTTCAGAGTTCTCTCCTGCCCTTCGTTCTTTGCTCTCCTCCCTCTGGGCACCCCTTCCCATGGCAAAGTCCCACGGCTCCCTCTTTGGCCTCCAGTTTCCTCAACTGTAAAATGGAAATGGTGACATTCGTTTCCCACGATAATGGATCAAATGAAATAATGGAAATGAAGTGCTTTATAAATTGGAAATCAATTTAAATCAGGGTCAGCAAACCAACGCCTGTTTTTGTGAGGTCTGCGAACTAAGAATGGTTTTGACATTTTTTAATGGTTGCAAAAAAGCCAAAGAATAAGATTCTATGACCCAAGAAAATTATATGAAAATCAAATAATAAATAAAGTTCTATTGGAACGCAGCCACACCCATTCACTACATACTGTCCATGGCTGCTCCGGTACAATGGCAGAGTTGAGTAGCTGTGACAGAGAACTTTAGACTCACAAAGTCTAAAATATTTACTATCTTGCCCTCTACAGAAAAAGTTTGCCAGCCCCTTTTGTAAAGGGCTGCAAAAATAATAATTCTTATGATCTCTCTTACTCTTCTCCATTAGAGCTTGCCCCCCGGATGAAGCCTACCATACCGGAAGGAGATGAATTGATCCACTTCACCAATCAATGATTATTGAAGGGAAGGTTGAATTTATGCCAGCTCCCAAGGACGTTTTCATTTTAGGGGAAAGTCTGAGTCCTAAAAGGAGGGCCTCTCAGATAGTGAGATTTCAAATATTAGTTGGGGAAACATCTTGGAGTGAGGGCTTCAAATGACAAGTAAGCGCTGCCTATTATAATCTGCAAACACATATATCCATACAATGACTTCACAAGAAACACTCCTATGGTGGAAAATTCTAGCAGCACATCTTATTAACTTCGGGGTATCTCGACTTGGTTAATATACACTAATTAAATTAAAAATGGCTTCTGGGGCTTCCCTGGTGGCGCAGTGGTTGGGAGTCCGCCTGCCGATGCGGGGGACGCAGGTTCGTGCCCCGGTCCGGGAAGATCCCACATGCCGCGGACCGGCTGGGCCCGTGGGCCGTGGCCGCTGGGCCTGCGCGTCCGGAGCCTGTGCTCCGCGGCGGGGGAGGCCGCGGCAGTGAGAGGCCCGCGTACTGCAACGAGCAAAAACAAATGGCTTCTGGCTAGCAATATTTCTGATCCTCAGGAATCTGCCGTTTGGAACTGCTCTTCTGGCTTTTACCTCGGCCACTCACTCTCTCCCCCTGCTCAGCTCTAGTCCCAACCCCTCTCCTGAGCTCCAGAGCCCATGGGGCATCTACACCCCATGCCCTGGCACCTCAACTCCACCTCTGAGACTGCTGTCCTCATCACCGTCCTTTGACTGGAATGGCCCCTCAGAGATCTGCACCACCCACCCGGGATGGAACCCAAGCCCAACACCCTGACTGCTTCCTCCTCCCTCCCAACCAATCCCCAGACCCTCTTATTTCTGCCTCCATGCAGCTCCAGCCACCAACTTGGGGCCACTGCACTGCTGTAGCACTCTTGCCCTGCCCAGTCCACTCCCCTCACTGCCCGAGCAGTCCCTTTAGAGGGCAGACCTCTTGCTATCATCCTTCTGTTGTGCCCCATTGCCCAATCCCTAGTAATCTGGCCCTGCCTGCCCCTCTGACCTTAGCTTTCCCTGCTTCCTGCCTTGAAATCTATATTCAGTGGAGTTGAGCTCCTTAAAAAGTCCCAAAGACCATGCTCCCTCTGTCCTGGAACTACCCCTACTTCAGGACCCAGCTCAGGTACCCCTTCCTCCAGAAAGCCTTCCCTGATAACTTCTGGGCTGGGTGAGGGACTCCTCCTGTGCTTTACCCCTTTCATATATTTATCTTCTCCATGGTTCTCATCTATCTCTCCCAGTGATTGCAGAAGCCCCTACACTGTCCCTAAGGAGCAGAGACAGTGCCTGGTACATAACAAGTGCTCAATAAATGTTGTCAGAATGAACAAAGGGAAGGAAGAAAGAAATCTAGCTTCAAGGTCATGATATCATTCTGCCCATCTTGGTTTCCCAGGCGTAACATGTAGAATCTCTGCTCATTAGAGTTTCTCTAGTGCCCATGCATCTCTGTCACAGGAATCTCTGTCTTGCTGCAGCCCAAGGGCTAACCTCAAGGTCTAAACCCATTCAAATAATAAAAGCAAGTGCTACAGCTTCCCTATGCAAAGTGTGGTCCCAGACCAGCAGCCTCAGCATCCCCTGAAGTTTATCAGGAATGGAAATTATCAGGCCCCACCCCAGTCTACTGAGTCAAAATCTGGGGTGGGAGGCAACAAAGCAATCTGTGTTTTAACAAGTTGTCCAGGTGATTTTTAAAGTTTGAGCACTCAGGGCCAGGCCCTGATAGTGTTGACCTGAGCACTTTATACATATATTATCTCATTTAATCCTCACAACAGCACTGCCAGATAGGTATTATTACCATTACACCCATTTTACAGGTGAGGAAATTGAGGTAACTTTGGTAGCTGGGGAGTCTGCCTCCAAGGCCTGCATCACTACCCCAGCCAGCCTCAGCTGTAAAGAGATGTTAGCAGACTCTGTTTGCAAAAGCGGACACAGCCCCTTGGTCTATTTTCCTCTTAATTATTTATGCTCTTGTGTCTGTGTGTGTGTCGTTGGGGGAAGATGATGGCATTGATGGGTGGTTTCACAGCCAGGTGTGGGTCTTTTGTACAAGTTGCTTAACTTCTCTAAGGTCTCAGTGTCCTCATCAGAGAACGAATTAGATGGTTCCACTTCCTTCCAACCCTAAAACCTCATGATGCCCCAGGACACTTACTCCACTCCACTCCACCTTTTGCATCCTCCAATGACCCTGGAGCTTTCAAGGGTGAGAAAACGATTAGCCAAGTATGAATCAGAGAGACCCGTGGGGGTCTGAAGAAAATACTCACCCATCCCCAGTAGACACAGACACAGGGGCCATAATTGGTTTGGATTTAAATGTCCCGAGCAGAAGTCATTTCTCTGAAAAGCGTCTGTTCCCCTAAAACAGCCTCCCAGACATTCTGAGCCACGACAAAGCACACCTCATGGGTGTAGATCTGCGCTGGCTCTGATGAGCAGTGAGAGCAGAGACCGCAGGTGACACATCCCACCCACCACCCAGTTAGGAGGGCAGGGAGTCCCGTTCCAGGCTGTTCCTGCCCCAGGATGCCCCATGGCCAGAAATACCTTTTCCTGGCAGGCGGCAGTGTGCTTGTAGGCAGAGTTGCACACCGAGGGTCTTGACGTGTGACCTGGGCCAGCGTCACAGAAGCCAGGCCAATCTGGAGGCGCCTCCTGCACCCAGGGGTCCGGCAGCCCCAGAAAGATAGAGACGGCAGAAGCTGTACAGTACTCACCGAGTGTATGAGAGGTCCTTCTCCCAGTGACTGAGGGCTGGTGTGTCTTTGACATAAATACCAGAGCAATATAAAACCCCAGAGGCGGATCTTCTTTAAGCAGAGTCCCTAAAAAGGCCAGCTGACGGTGTGTTAGCAGTATTACCATATAAGGTGCTTTTTTCAATAAATCGGCCTTGTGGGGGGGTGGGAAGGGGGTTGGGTAGAGTGAATTATCATTTGAAAAATGTATGCAAAAGGACTCGAGAGGCAGCAGCCTCGGTGCTGGCAGATTTGTTCCTTTTATGCTGCACTTGCATAAACAAAACTCACACCAGGCCTTATAAGCTGCCCAGAGTGAGGCCAGATGGAGCTCTGTTCCTGGAGAGAGAACCATACCAAGAATGGCAGTGGGCCTCCTCCCTCCACACCTCCCTACTCAGGCCCTGATGCCCGCCACCCCTTGGCAGTGTCCCCAAAATGGATACAATTGTGCCTGGTCTGGTGCAAGCCCAGGACAGCTAAAAGCCAAAGGGAAAAGCCATCCATACCTGGGAAAGCAATCCTGCGTGCCCTCCTCACCTGCTGCCCCCACCCACCGCGAGCTCCTAACCCCTGGGCTGAGTCACCTGGGGACCCAGGACAGCGGAAGCCTCCCCTGGAACCTCATTGTCTCCTTCCTTTCTCCTTTCCTTCCTGGATTCCCTCTGCCAGTCCCTGAACATTGGGAATACAGCCCAAGGTAGCTGCTTCAGTGTGGAGGCACACCTAATAAGACTCACAAGCTTGTAGGCTTGTCCACAGTCCTGAGGTTCCTGCTCTTCTTCTCATGTCCTCTTCCTGAGTAGCTGCTTCATTTCCCAAGCTAGCCGCTACCAGCTCTATGGCAATTACTCTCACCTCCACATTCCCACAGTCCCAATGCCTCCTGCCTGATCCAGACTAAAATTACGGATTGCTTATTGGACATCCCCACCCAGATGACCCTCCAAAACAGAATCCTCGTCCCCTACCCTCGATGCTGCTGTGCCTCCTGGGTTCCCTACTTCAGAGTCCTTCCCCTCGGTCCTTCAAGCTAGAAACCTGAGTTGTCTAGACCCCTTGCTCTCCCTCATGCCCACACCCACCTGGACACCTTTCTGGTGCCCCTCCCCTCAGAAATGCTCTGCATCCTCCCTGCTATCCCTGCTGGCCCTGCTCTGCTTCTGGCTCTGGTCCTGTTCAGCACAGCTTCCTGACTGGTCTTCCTGACTCCACCCCATCTTCAAACCCAGCAGTTCCCAAAGTATGGTCCCCAGGCCAACTGGAAGGCAGCGACTGCATGAACTGGAACGTGTTAGAAATGCAGATCCTTAGGTTTCACCCAGATGGGCTGAATCAGAAACCCTGGGGGTAGGACTCAGCCGTCTGTGTTTTACAAACCTCTCCCCTCCCACCCAGGTGTCCAGGATACCTACCCTACCTACCCTTCACCAGAAGAATTGAATACCTGCTTACGCTGTCCTGGGCCCCCAGGTGACTCAGGCCAGGGGTTAGAAGCTTGTGTGAGGGGAAACAGGTGAGGAGGGCACATGGGATTGCTTTCCCAGGTATGGATGGCATTTCCCTTCGGCTTTTAGCTGTCCTGGGCTTGCACCAGACCAGGCTCAATTGCATCCACTTTGGAGACACTGCATGGAGTTCTCAGTGGGCTTGGGTGTCATGACACAGTGGCTCGGTGTAGGTCTGTCTTGCCCATTAACTAAGGACTGAGGCAGGCAAAGGTATGGGTAAGGAGCGGCCACTGCTTAGAGAACCCAGAGGAAAGAAGTAGGGAAGGCTTTTCATGGAGGCTTGTGACTGCCCCTGTAGAGAAGGGACACCGTAGCCATCATGAGGTATACTTACTAATCTTTTGACCATTGGCCTCAGTGCTCAGTACCAAGTCTAAATTCCAGGCCCCCTTGGAAGCTTCCCTGAGTCTTTCTGGTCCCTAAAAAAGCCCTCGCTGTGGATGGTGGGGGGCATGCAGGGCAACAGATGAGGTGGGAAATGTCCAGCAGGGACACAGTGCTGTCAGTCCTGACTGGGCGGGGTAGCTAAGAGCCAGTGCCCAGGTCGTGTGCTACCCGCTAGTCTCCCTCCTTGGGAGACTCCATTCTCTTCTAATCATTCTGCACTGTGGCCAGGGTGAATGTTCACACCTTGGTTGGCACAATCCGCTTATAAACAATAAAGAGCCTATAATCAAAGGGAACTGGTTGTGGTTCAGGGTCCAAACAGTCCAGAGATCACAGAGGAAGGCTATCTGAATAAACTGAAGCCCTTAGGAAATGCTTAGGGAGGAGGAGTCTGCCTTGACTTTGATAGAGAGAAAAGAGGTGGTTAGACCAGAGGTTAAACCAGGTGCCAGAGGTACTCAGTTTTTTATAGTATGAGGAATCCCACCCTTAAACAGTTATTTCTTTATTTTTTCTCCTGGTTTCAAAAATAATGCAAAAAATTCAAAGAATACAAAATTGTGTATCGTTTCCAACAATTTCATACAGACCTGAGTCAGAGATGGCTCAGACATGCTTTCAGTATGATGTGTATTCTTTCAGATTTTTCCTAGATTTTTTGAACTAATTTTTATATTATTTTATAAAAACAGGATTATGTTATAACATATGTTTTTACAACTGTTCTGAAACTTCCCATGTTCTCTTAATAATACTCTTGGATGGCTGTCCAAATCAGTTCATATAATTTTTTAAACCCTAACATAGTTTTCCATAGTAGGGATATACCATAATATATATTTTTTAACATAAAATTTTTAACCAATATTCTGTTGATGGGCTCTTGAGTCATTTCCAATTTTTCACTTATGCAAACATTGCTGCAGTTAATAAAACTTTATAAATTGTGCCCTCCTGTGTGTGTGTGAGTATATCTACATGGTAACTTTCCGAAGTGGAATTGTCTGATCAAGCACGAACATTTGAAATATGGATGGAAATGGCCAAACTGTCCTCCAAAAAGGTTGTACTAGTTTACACTCTTGCCAATAGTGTATGAGAACATTTCCTTCTTCATACTCTTTCAGACCCTGAGTGTCAATGGTTTTTTTTGGTCCATTACATTTGTTTATTACCTTTGGAAACATGTTAATTTTCATGTGACTCACCACATTTAGTTTTTTCTTCCTGATTATAAAAGAAATTCATTCAATGGTTTGTTTGTTTGTTTTTTTTAAAGGAAAATGTGGAAACAGGTGTTTGCATCTTAAGATGTTTGTTTTGGTGGACAGTTGGTCAACTGAGCATCTTTGCTTCTCTGGCTCTCTTTGTGCCCAAAAGAACCATGTGGTAATTAGCCATCTTTTAAACATTTCCTAATCCAAAAGGAGAAATTTAGCATCTTCTTGTTTTAAAATTAAAATTCTAAATTATTTGATAACTCATGAGAATGAACATGTTTGGCAGTTATTAAACCTTTTTGGGGTGGGGTCCTTCTCTGAGAATGGCTGGTTCATGTCTTTATCTATTTTTCTATTGGATGTTTTGCCTTTATCTTCTTGAGTTTTAAGAGTTCTTGGTATATTTCATTAGTGATACCATTAACCTTTTGTTTATCACAAGGGTTGCAATTATTTTCCTGCCAGTTTAACATTTATTTGCCTTTTGGTTTTGTCTGGTAGCATTTGCCTTATTGGAGTTTAATCAAATGTTTTCCCTTTTTGGTGTCTGTGTTTCATAACATCTTTAGTTCTTTTATTTTCTATTTTATTTTTAATTGTGGTAAAATACACATAACATAAAATTTACCATCTTAACAATTTTAAGTGTTCATTTCAGTATTAATAAGTATATTCACTTTGTGTGCAATCTTCAGAACGATTTCATCTTGCAGAACTGAAACTCTGTACCCATTAAACTACAACTCCCTATTCCTCTTTACAGCCACCATTCTGCTTTCTGTCTGGATTTGACAATCCTGGGTACCTCATATAATTGGAATCATACAGTATATGTCTTTTTGTGACTGGCTTATTTCACTTAGCATAATGTCCTCAAGGTTCATCCATGGTGTAGCACATGTCAGAATGTCCTTTCTTTTAAAGGCTGAGTAATATTCCATTGTATGTATGTACCACATTTTGTATATCCATTCATCCGTTGAAAGACAGTTGGGTTTTTTCCACTTCTTGGCTACTGTGAATAATGCTGCCATAAACATGCATGTACGAACACCTCTTCAAGACCCTGCTTTCAATTCTTTTGGGTATATACTCAGAAGTGAAATTGCTGGACCACATGGTAATTCCATTTTTAACTTTTTCAGGAACTGCCACACCATTTTCCACAGCGGCTGCGCCATTTTATATTCCCACCAACTGCTCACAAGTGTTCCAATTTCTCCACTTCCTTCACCAACACTTTTTGATAGTTGCCGTCCTAATGGATGTGAAGTGGCATATCATTGTGTGTGTGTTTTTTAAACTAAACAGACTTTATTTATTTTTATTTTTTTTTATTTTCCAGTACGCGGGCCTCTCACTGCTGTGGACCCTCCCGTTGCGGAGCACAGGCTCCGGACGCGCAGGCTCAGTGGCCATGGCTCACAGGCCCAGCTGCTCCCCGGCATGTGGGATCCCCCCAGACCGGGACATGAACCGGTGTCCCCTGCACCGGCAGGCAGACTCTCAACCACTGCGCCACCAGGGAAGCCCCAGACTTTATTTTTTAGAGTAGTTTAGGTTTACAGAAAAATTGAGCAGAATGTACAGAGGGTTCCGTATATCCCCTACAACTACTCATGCATAGCTTTCCCCGCTAGCACACTCCCAACTAGAGTGGCACACGTGTTAAAACTGATGAACCTATTGATACAATGACATATCATTAACCCCCAAGTTTACATTAGAGTTCACTTTTGGTGTCGTACGTTCTCTAAGTTTAGAAAATATATAATGTCGTGTATCCATCATTATAGTATCATACAGGACAGAATCACTGTCCTAAAAATCCTCTGTGCTCCACTTA